CACACCCCCCCAGCCGTGTTGGCACGGGGTGGGGGGATGCCTCCCATTCAGCCTGTCGTCTCTGTCTCAGCTGTCCCCACCCGTGTGACCTGGGCACACCCGATGAGAACTGGGTCTGGCGGCATACCTGGTATTTCTCTAGGTTATCCCAGAGTCGTGGTTTGGGGAGAACACAGAGGTCACCAGGGTCGGGAGAACATGGAGGAGGCCACCTCGTGGGGACGTGGTGTCCTTGTGGCATCCTGCTGGTGTGTCTGATCTTGGCCTGGTGCGTGTGGCTGAGCTCTGTGCCCTGTGCTTGCAGCCCTGCTGGACGGTGGGTGTGAGCCTCAGCCCCAGTGGGCAGCGTGTCACTGGGAGCGCAGGCGTGTGTCAGTCCCCAGCTGGGCTGCCAGGTGCAGCCCTTAGCTATGCGCGCAGGGAACTGGGTCCCACGTGGCCCACTGTGGTTCAAACCCCAGCTCCAAGTGCTGATGGGGATGGAGACGTGGAGATGGGATTGTGGTGTGACCATCACCCACGGGCACTTTTTCTCTGGCAAATGTATATACGCTCTGGCAATAAAAAATATAATTAATACACATGTGTAAAGAATTAAAGTAATTTAGAGCAACCATAGTCACTTGCACTCACTTGAGGGGAGAGACCACAAGGCCACACAGAGGCCCATTTCCTCCTACCCGCCAGCGTCCGCGTCCACGGAGTCTGGCGTGCAGCTGCACGGTCGTCCTTGCAGCGTCCCCGCCCCGCCCCTCCGTGCTGCTCAGTGGCCAGGCTGCACTTTGCTTCTGCTCCAGCCTGGATGCAGATGAGGCATCTGCGGCCGGCCGAGTGCCCTGGAGGGCCGGGGCGGGAGCGCCCTGGGCAGGCCTCTGTCCCCACAGCCCACTCTCCCTGCACAGCCACCATCCCGTCTCACCAGGCGGGATGTCAGGTGAGACTGCCCCTTGAAGGTGTCCCCTGCGGGTCCTGCTGGCCCTTCAAGGTCGCTGGCTCAAGCCTTCACTCCGAGAGCTGTTTCTGCAACTCCACAGCCGCGTGGCTCCCTGTGCTGGGATCAGGACGGGGTCCTCGATCCTCGCATGGATGTGGCCAGCCAGCACGGACAGCTTCTCTACCATCTTCGCCCTGCGCTCACAGGCTGCTGCCCGGGCCTTTGGACGCCTCACAGCCCTGCACTTGGGCCACACTAGGGACTGGTGCCAGCCAGGCTGAAGCCACCCCTGCGTGTCCCAAGGACCCAGCTCGCACATATTAGCCCTGAAGTTGGTGTAAATTTGGTGACTGTCGGAGTGGGGGAGAGAAGGATGTGCCCAGGCAGGACGAGGAAGCACTCTGCTCTGATGCGGGTTGGTGTTGGCATGCTGAGCTCCCCACTGGTGCCCAAGGGCCGCTGGGATGGGCCTCACACTGCCGATGCCCCACGTCAGAGCCGCTCTGCTCCGTGCTGTGTGGCGGCCCCCCTGGGGCTCATGCACACGGACACACAAAAGCAGTGGCGTCTGCCCTTCCTTCCTCTGTGCCACTTCCGGCCTGTGTTCACCCTCACACAGCCTCCGTCTGTCACCTGCTCACACCTGGCTGCTGGAGCGGGTCCATGTGAGACGGCTCCTGTCCAGGTGCTCACTTTCTGGCCAGGACAAGGCTGGGCTTTGGGGCCGTGCCCTTGGCGTCAGGCCATGGCCCCGTCTCACCTGGATGCCAGGAGGGTGGCCTGGAGTGTCAGGCTCATCTTCCCTCCACAGGGAGGAAGGTCTGGAGGGGACACACACACACTGAGGCCTGCTTTGCTAGTGGCCGACCCAGCCGTGGGGCCCGGATGGGAGGCAGGAATTTGTACCCAAGGCCCAGTGAGCACCAGCTCGGTGCCGGAGCCTGGAAGATCCCAGCCTCGTCTCTGCTCTCACGCACATGTGCACAGAGTCTTGGGCCTCCCCAGGCCTGGCTTTGGCTAGGGGGCGGGGAGCCCTTGCCTGCTCCCTGCACAGCACCTTAGGACTGCTGCTGGTTCCCACTGGTGGGAGTCAGCGTGGAGCTGCTGCAGCAAGTGACGGTCCCTGACGCGTCTTCTCTGTCTCCCACGTGCAGGGCAGGAGGTTCGTCTACGCCGGCTCTAACTCGGGCGTGGTCCAGGCCCCCCTGGCCTTCTGTGGGAAGCACAGCTCCTGTGAGGACTGCGTGCTGGCGCGGGACCCCTACTGCGCCTGGAGCCTGCACGCCGCCACCTGCATCAGCCTGCAGCAGACGGAGGGCGCCAGCAGGTACGTGGGGTGCCTGGGGTGCGCGGCGTGTGGGCCCCCGCGTGTGCGCGAGGAGCTGACGGGTGCCCGTTGTCTCACAGGGGTCTGATTCAGGACCTGAGCGGCGACGCATCCACATGTCCTGGTGAGTGGCTCCCCGCCGCCCCTCCCCTAGCGGCGAGGTCGTGTACCCCCATGGCCTCTGCGTGCCTTCAGGTCTTCCTCCACACCGAGCAGAGAGCAGAGGCCAGGTGCCGGGGGCAGACATGGCCCGCCTCCCCCTCCTCTTCGCACGGCGTCTGACACCACGCAGTTCCCTTCGGCTGCTCTCGGCTTGTGGCTCGGGCGGAAGGAGGGAGCCATGGGTAGTTAGGCCCGGCGGGCGTCCTGGGGACCTGCTGTTGTGACCGTCGGGAAGTAGCCTTGTGATCTGAGGGGCAGCAGCAAGCCAGGGGGCCCATCCCCTCCGCCACCTCCTCAGCCTGCTGCAGACAGCACAGCCCCCTCCCTGGCAGCTGCCAGCAGGTTGGGAGACGTGTAGAAGGTCCGGGGTGTCCCAAGAGGCCGGCCTTTCTCCTAGCCGCTGGCAGAAGCATCTCAGGCCGACTTCTTGCCAGCACCAGGCGCAAACTGGCCTCTGCTCAGCAACCCCCACGGTTTCCTCTGGGACCGCGAGGACGGGGCCTGCTGCCCTGCCGATGTCTTTGCCCCCAGGTGCTCCCTGCGGTCCATCTTGCTTCTCGGTCATGCATGTCTTTGTCTCCTGAGGAGTCCGTGTTGCTCCCGTGGGTGGAACTGTGTCGTCTCGTGCGTGTGGGCCTGTTTGTCGAGGCCGCGGTCATGGGGTGGGGGTCGTTGACGCTGTGCACGTTTATCTCGATGTTCCAGATGTAAGTACAGCGAGTCCGCGGCAGCACTTTCTCAAGCACGGTGGCACGGCGGAGCTCAGGTGCTCCCAGAGGTCCAACCTGGCCCAGGTGGTGTGGACATTCCAGAACGGCGTGCTCAAGGCCGAGAGCCCCAAGTACGGCCTCACGGGCCGGAAGCATTTGCTCATCTTCAACCTGTCGGAAGGCGACAGCGGGGTGTACCAGTGCCTGTCGGAGGAGAGGGTCCGGAACAGGACGATCTCGCAGGTGGTTGCCAAGCACCTGCTGGAGGTGAAGGTGCTCTCACGGACCCCGGTGGTCCCCACCCTGCCGGCCACTCGGACAGAGGGTAGTCCAGACGTCGCCAGAGTGTCGGCAGCCTCCCCCCAAGGGGCCTCTCCCCCAGC